GAAGCGTTTGGTGGAGAGGGAGGTGGATGTGGATCTTTGCGTGTTGTTGCCTGGTTTGTTTATAGTCCCTGTTTCCACGTTCCTAGGATAAGGGAAAGGCTCGTCTTTAGGGATCTGCCTCTCCCTGGCTGTTTGCTGCTTTCCAGTGAGGAGCTGAATGAATGCGGGACCTGCTACACTTAGGAGGGGTGGGAAGACACGTGGAATGGGGAAAGGAACCCTCTCCTGTAAAATAATAATAAAAAATCCTGGGGAAGGGTGCTGGGGAAATAGCCTTTCCCCGTCCCCCCGCTTGCTGGGATCCAGGCTGCTCCTCCTGCCTCCCGCCTTCAAAGGCATCTCCTCAACTTCCAGCCTTTCCCTCCAGATCCTCATTCGTTCCCTTCCCTCTCCCTCCCATCGCCGCGGGATCCAGCCCGGACTCCCCCTTCCCTCTCTTTGCTCCTCCCTGGGGCTCAGAGGGAGCCAGGGACCATCTGGGTCCCTGCCCGGGAGAGAGAGGGGAGGGCGGTAGGAGGGACCGGCGAGGCGGGGAGGGGACAAGGATGCTCCGGGGGTGGCTTTTTGCTTCCTCGCCTGCCCGGAGCTCGCAGGGGCTCGCCTGGAGGATGTCTCACCCCCTCGGCACAGGTAACTCTGGAACCCCCATCACCCCAGCCCGGGGTGGGATGCAAAGGGGAGGAGGGGGTTGCAATTTGGCTTCGATTGAAGCAAAACTTCGGGGGGAAAACGGGGTTTGAAGCAAACCCAACCAAACAAAAACGAGGATGCAGGTCGTGCGCGATGCTCGCAGCCCTGTCCGGGGGTGAGCCCTGCCCCAAAGTTTCCTTGTGGATGGCTGGGAAATACTTCCAGGGGTGGATTCCCGGGCGGTAGCTGCTCTCCGTGTATCCCTGCTGTGCGTGGTGGCGATGCTCTGGCTCCGGGAATGAGCCGTGGATGGGGACTGTGCGTGGTACCCCGGGGGTGCTGCATGTGATGGATCCGCTGCCGCCGCGATCCGCAGCTCCACACGGTGCCCCCGCGCCCGTGGATGGTTCCGTGTGGCCATTCCATGCCATGTGCGTGGATTTGCAGTCCCGGCTTTGAAGTTTGTGTGTGACACCCGCGGGAGATGCAGCCGGCGGGGTGTGTGTGTTTGTGTGTTGGGGGGGTGTTGTGTGTGCGCCCACATTCGTGGCTGTGACTTGTGCTGTCGCATTCCCCCCGATATCCGCGTAGGAGACCGTGGATGTGGCTGCCTGGGATTAAATGTATGGATGCAGAGGAGAAGTGCAAGCCCAGCAGCGCAGCTCGGCAGTGGCACACAATCCGCGGGCAGCTTTTCTCTCCGGGAAAAGCACGGGGATGACCAGGGAGATGCTGCAGGCGGCTTGTGCTCCTTTAAAAGTGGAGAGGAGCTTTCTCCAAGCCTCCCCCGGCAAACTGCGCGTCTTTAAGGAGACTTGGGAAGCGGCTCCTTGCTGAGCACGTGAGATCCAGCCGCAGCTTCGGGAGGCAGCAGCCGGGGAGGTGGAAGGGGAGGGAGAGGCGAGGAGGAGGGGGGGGGAGAGAATATTTTATTTTCTCAGCGCGCTTGTGACAAAATGCTCTGGTTTGTCCTTGCCGGAGGTGTCACTGCCGGGGCGAGTTCAGAGCATGCTGCTGAGGGCCACCCCCAGGAGGTTCCTGGAGCAACACCTTCTCTTCGCGGAGAGCGCAGAGCGGCAGCCCCCGGCTCGGGAATCGCTCCCGAATCCATTCATGACTGAGGAACCCCCAGCCGAGCCGGACCTGCCGCCCTCCAACCTGACCAACGCCACGGACTGCGGCGAGGAGATCCTGCTCTATGGGGACACCGAGAAGGTCGTCATCGGGGCCGTGCTCTCCATCATCATCCTCATGACCATCGCCGGCAACGGGCTCGTCATCATCTCCGTGTGCATCGTCAAGAAGCTCCGCCAGCCCTCCAACTACCTGGTGGTGTCCCTGGCGGCCGCAGACCTGTCGGTGGCCTTCGCCGTCATGCCCTTCGTCACCATCACGGACCTGGTGGGGGGAGAGTGGCTCTTTGGGAAGGTGTTTTGCAACGTCTTCATCGCCATGGACGTCATGTGCTGCACGGCCTCCATCATGACCCTGTGCATCATCAGCGTGGACAGGTAAGGGGGGCACTGGGCTCCAAAATAAGGGGGTTGCTGGAGGTTGAGGGCCACTGGGATCGTGTTCCTGGGTGGATTGGTGTTTCTGTATGAGTTTTCCAAGTGGTTTTCTCTAGGGATTCGGTGCCTCAGTCCCTCTGAGGCTCACAGGTGCCTTTCTGTAGGAATTTAGTGCCTCAGTCCCTCTGGAAGAGCTAGGCTCACAGGTGCCTTTCTGTAGGAATTCAGTGCCTCAGTCCCTTTGGAAGAGCCAGGCTCACAGGTGGGTTTCTGTAGGAATTCAGTGCCTCAGTCCCTTTGGAAGAGCCAGGCTCACAGGTGGGTTTCTGTAGGAATTCGGTGCCTCAGTCCCCCTGGAAGACCTGGGTTCAGAGGTGCCTTTCTATAGGAATTTGGTGCTTAAGTCCCTCTGGAAGAGCTGGGCTCCCAGGTGCTTTTCTATAGGAATTCAGTGCCCCAATCTCTTTGGAAGAGCTGGGCTCCCAGATGCCTTTCTATAGGAATTCAGTGCCTCAGTCCCTCTGGAAGAGTTGGGTTCATAGGTGGCTTTCTGTAGGAATTTGGTGTCTCAGTTCCTCTGGAAGAGCTGGCTCAGGGTGCTTTTTTAAGTAACTTCCATAAGTTACTTCCTTGTCTTCCCCCTTTAGGCAGCTGCTTCATGTTGTTCTTCCTTGGCTTAAGAAACAGCACCTGTAGGATAGACCCACCTGACCTTCTCTGTGGACCATAAAACTATTCAGGAAAGCAAAAAAAAAACACCCAACCCCAGATGCTCTTTGAAAATCCAGGTTCCAGGGCTGCTGGAGCCAGTCCTGTGGGATGCTCTGCTGCTCCCTGGACTCGTACCTTGGCTGAGGGTGTCAGTGACTCCCCCCACCCCATCCCAAGCTGGGTTTAGCCCAGTGAGTGCATTTGTGAGGGTTTTCTGGCTCCAGCTCCCACACCTGTGGGCTGGGAGGGAAAGGCTGAGCCTGCCTGGCAAACTGGCAAGGCTTGGGCAAGTCAGCACCTTGTGGGTCTAATTTTAGCAGCCCAGCCTGCGTCATGAGGGACACGGTGCTGCCGGGGGGCCGGGGCTGACGTGGGCTGGCTTTGTCAGGGGGTCAGCCCGGGTTTATCTGGCACTGCTGAGCTGGGCTGGCTTGTGACAGCAGCTCAGGGAAGGGCCACATGCCACGAGATGTCCCTCCAGCTGTGCCACCTCCCCGGTCACCTCCGAGGTGTGAGGAAGGGTGACAAAGCAGAAAGGACAGAGCAAGCCCTGCTGCTGCTGCTCGGTGTCACCCCTGGCAAGGCCACAGCAAGTCCTGCTGTGGAGCCCTCCCTGACACCAGGCACTGCTGCCCTGGGAGCTGCCCTTTGCCTCACAGCTCTGAGCAGCTCCAAGCTGCTGGTCCAGAGCAAAACCCCTCCCAGGCCACAGCAAGGTCCAGCTCTACTGCTGAACTTGCTTTATTTTAATAAAAAGGCCTTTTGGAAAAAAAGCAGGTGCATTCTGAGCTGACAGAAGCCTGACTGTGTTGGAGGGAAGGGATTAAATGCAGGAATGAAATATGTTAATGCTTCCTCCTGATGGGTGAGGAGCAGGGAAGCAGCTACACACTCATCACATTGGCTTTGCTTTAAAAATTTCCTTTGCCCTTTCCTTTGCCCTTTCCTTTGCCCTTTCCTTTCCCCTTTCCTTTCCCCTTTCCTTTCCCCTTTCCTTTCCCCTTTCCTTTCCCCTTTCCTTTCCTCTTTCCTTTCCCCTTTCCTTTCCCCTTTCCTTTCCTTCCCAAACCTTCCCTTCCCTTTCTTTCCCAAACCTTCCCTTCCTTTTTCTCCTCTCCTCTCCCCTTTTTCCCGTCTTTCTCCCTTTCTTTTTCCCCTCTCTCCTTTTCCCTTTTCCCCTCCCTCTTTCCCTTGCCTAACCATGTCAGCAACTCCCTCCACTCCATTTGAAGTCCTCAAAACCCCTGGTTTATCCCACTACTTATATTCCCTTTCCTTTCTTTCCTATCCCTTTCCCTTTCCTTTCCCTTTCCTTTCTCTTTCCTTTCTCTTTCCTCCTCCTTTCCTTCCCATTTCCTTCCTCTTCCCCTTCCCTTCCCCTCTTCTCCCAACCAACCAATCCCATCCCATCTCACCTCATCCCTTGGAGAAAGACTCTTCCAAGATCTTTCTCCAAAATCATCACAGTTGATTCCACTCATCCATCACACCTCTCCTTCCCAGTGTCACTGTTCCTGTGAGCAGATCCCTATCCAAGGACACCACGCCTGGGATTGATGTCAGTTTGTCTCTTCCCATTAAACTGGGACTGGCCAGGAAGTTTCTGGGGAGTGTGGACACCACTCGTGCCAAGGCTGATTCCTGGGGGGTGCTGAGGGCCGTGGAGAAAGGCAGCAGGGAGGAAACTGCTCCGTGTAGGATGGGCAGGAATTGCATAGAGGAAACCCCTGGATTAAATGGGAGCAGCCCTGTGACTGCTCTAAGCTGCACTCCCAGGTTGTACAGCCAGGGAAGATCCCTGTAAACTGGGAGACAAGATCCTGTTCCCACCTCACAGGGCTCTCAAACACCTCCTCCTCTCTGCTGCACCTCTGCCAGGCAAACCCCACCCCAACCTTTCCCTTTTCCAAAATGGAAAAGTCCTTTTGGGATGTCAGAGAGGAAGAGGGAGCTGCAGCAGAGGAAAGGGTGGAAGCACCAGGTGGCTTCAGACCCCTCAGCAGGGTGAGGGAGGAAAAACCTGGGTCACAGGAGGCTGCTCCAGAGCCTGAAAATTCTGGCTCAGGCTTGAACTTCAGGTGTGTTGGCCCAGGAACAGCACCCCTGTTTGCTCCCAGAGCCTGATCCTCCCCTGATGGGGCAGTTGAGAGGTTAAAGGCAGTTGTCCAAGATGTATTTCCAGCTGGGGAAAGAGAAACCCAGCAAGGATTGTGATTTGGGCAGAGGGAAGGGGTGGACAGTCCTCCCAGCTGTGCCCATCTCAGCCCTGCGTGGGAGGAAGGGGATGCTGCAAGTGCAGGAGGGAATGGGAATGACTGGGATGTGCTTTGATGCACATAAGAGGAGGAGGTGACTGGGGCACTGTCCTGCTGCTTCCTGCCCCAAGGATCCCCAGGAATGGGCTGTGAGTTGTGGGAATTATCCCAGGGCAGTGTCTTGAACACCCTGTTGCTCCTCATCAACTCATCATCCTCACTGCTTCCACATGCAGTGGATGGAGGTGGATTGAGGATCCAGGATAATTCCTGGATCTCCACCTTCTCCTGAACTGGGGATGGGCAGGATTTTTGGTTTAACTCTTGGTGGAAACATCCCCCAAAACCCATCTCTGTTTCTATTCTGGTACAGCCACAGAGCTGCAGCACCAGGACAGCTGAGCTTGCAGAGACCCTGAAAACCCAAGGAGAGTTAAATGGTTATTAACTCAATTAATCTAAATCTCCCCCTGTCCCTCCTGCCCTGCAAGGAAGAAGAGCACTGGTGCTTCTGGGAAATACAAATATTTCCCCCAGTTCTGCCCTGAAAGCCAACTTGGTCAGCACTGTCAGGCAGCTCCTGCCAAAGAGGAGGTTGTGTTTTTATTGATGGCTGAAGTGTCCTCATATTTTGCTTAGCTTAGAGAGAAAAGAGACTTGGTTTGCCCAAGATGATGAGTACTATTAAAATGTAGGCTGCTATTATTGATTATTAATGCGGAGCTCTTCCTAAAAGCCTTTTCATTGAAGCTGGGAGAACCAATCTTGTCTGGAGTGAGATTTGATTGATTTCCTTTGAAATCAAAAAAGAAAAATGCTGGAAACATCCATCTTTCCCTTACATTTTTCTTATGTAAAAGCCTGCCAGTGTTACAGATTCTTTAATGTCACAAACCAAAAACAAAACAACAACAACAAAAAACCCACCCTCTTTTGGCTGCTCAGCTTTTGATAAAACTCTCCATAAAAATGCCAAGCAGGTGACAAAAGGAGCTCCTCAGACCCCACATATCACTTCTGGTTTTCCTGGTGGAGAAAAGAGCCTCCATCCATTTCCCAGGCAGCCCTGCTGGGGCTCTCTCATCTCCCTGGCAAGTATTTTCCACCCAAAATCAGATTATATACTCCAAATTGGGATCATCCTCAGATAAAGGATGCCTCCCGAAAGTCAGTGGGATGAAACCCGCACAGCGTTTTGCTGGATTGCCTTTCCCATGTCCTCCATCTGAACGTGTCCCAGGCTGAGTAAATCCCTGCACTGGGTCTGGGATGGATCCCTGGGATGCTCCCACCAACCCTGACTTAGGGCAGGGGCAGATGAAGCCACAGGGAGCTGCTGCCTCCAGCTGCCTTTTGCATCCTCATCTCCTTCAGCAGGATGGGGCAGGGATGGCATCAGCCTGGAAATCAGGGAAGGAGCTTAAATTTGGCTGCAGGGGAGCTGTGGAATTGTGGTAAAACAGTGTGGCCAAGGGAACCCTAATTCTGGGCTCATTTGTCCTCACTCAACCCGTGTGAGTGGAGGCTCATCCTTTCCCAGTTCACCAGCTGCAGGATGGAGAAAGGGATACGGTGGCTTCCCACTGCCAGAGGGCAGGGATATTGGGAAGGAATTCCTGGCTGTGAGGGTGGTGATACACTAGCACAGGTTGCCCAGAGAAGCTGTGGCTGCCCCTGGATCCCTGGAAGTGTCCAAGGCGAGGTTGGACGGGGCTTGGAGCAACCTGGGCTAGTGGAAGGTATCCCAGCCCCATTCCAGGGGGCTGGAATCAGAGGATCTTTAAGGTCCCTCCCAACCCAAACCATTCCATGATTCCCCTTGAGCACAGAATACACTCACAGAACTGGCTCATCCACGGAGCCGCTGGTGGAGCCCAGGAGGGGGCAGGACTCCCACCCCACACCCAGGGCTCGGACTGCCCGGGCATCCCAAGGAACGAGGATGTGGGAGAAGTTTATTGCCCAAGGAGTGAGTGGCTGCACAATCAGCTCAGCACGGCAGGAGAGGGGGAGGGAGAGAGGGGGGCGGAATTCCTGCAAATCCCCTAAATCGCTGCTCTGGGAATTGGCTTTTGTTACCCGATCACCGCTAAACTTGATCGGCAGCACGACACACACACACACACACACACCCCCCAAAAAAGAAGGAAATTCAAAGGGGGCGAGTTCAGTTTGAATTTCGCTGCGTGTCGGAGCCACCTCGGCTCCCTCCCTGCCGCAAACGCCGGCCTATTTTGCGGTTTTTCCTGCTCTCATCGAAATTAAAAGCAAAGACCTCAAGAACGGCCCCGTTTCCTCCGGCAGCGCCGGCACGAGGCGCCCGCAGATGAAACGTGTCGGCTTTGCCTGCTCTTTAAATCCTGTCACCGCTCGTTTTGCTCGGCTGGAGTGTAAATTCCTTGAAGTTCCAGCAAATCCCGGGCGGATCGGCTTCCAAAGAAACCCGGCGATAGCATAACGAAGGATGTCGCACAGCGCAGCGCTTATAAGGCTGCAAAGTTCTCGGCTTGGATGTACAGAGGAGTGGGTTTGGGGTGGTGATTTTGGAATTGCAGCAGCAGGGCAGGGTTTTCTCCCAGCCTAGGGAACATCCAAGTCTCCTCTCCACGGATCAGGAGGGAACAGGTTGCACAGGGAAGCTGTGGTTGCCCCATCCCTGGAATTGTTCAAGGCCAGGTTGGAGCAACCTGGTCTAGTGGAAGGTGTCCCTGCCCCTGGCTTTTGGGATGCCAAATTCCATGAGATGGTCTTTAAGGTCCCTTCCAACCCAAACCGTTCTGTGATTCCGTGAACACAGATGGTCATGGAGAGTTCTGGTTGGGTTTTGTGACTAAGATTGGCTCCAAAATATACAGAGGAAACCAGGAAAAAAATAATTCAGTCAGTGAATGAATTCAAATTCATTTTATCAGGGAGTCAGAGGAGAATACTTTGGGCTCTGAATTGATTTAACAGTCAGGAAGGGAGGAGAAATTAGATTTTTTTTTTTTATATTTTATTTCCATCCTCTAATCTTGGGGGAGGATCTGGAAAAGGGAAATAATGAGAGAAGAGAAAATCTCCTAACACCTACAATGAGACTGACTGTCAGAAAAAAAATGATACAACAGAGATAAAAATCCCTACAGAAATGTTCTTTTTTTTGGCAGAAAAGCCTGTTCTGTCCCTTGAACAGCTCTCAGCAAAAAGTGTCCATAGAGCTGCTGTTCCCACTGCCCCTCTGGACTGACACTGTTTATCCAAGAACAATTAAGAGGTGATGTGACCCTGCCTAAAAATACCTACAAATGCCTGACAGCAGGAGATTTAAATCAAAAAGGCTGTGACATGAAAGAAATCCATGTGACCAGCTCAAGGTTTTTTCTGGACTGATTGGAACTTCGTAGCAGGGAGATAATTTTCCAGGGGGAGCATTGGCTGACAGAGGCCAACTCCCTACTGATTTATTGGACAACAACTGGAATTTGCTAAGCAAGAGTTGATACAATTTCTCAGTCACACAAACCCCCTCAATCAAGAGTGGGGATGGTTCAAATTTACACCCTGTAGGTTAACCAGGAGCTCCTTTTCTCCAGGCTGAGCCCCCCCAGCTCCCTCGGCCACTCCTGGTGCTCCAGACCCTTCCCCAGCTCTGTTCCCTTCCCTGGTCATGCTCCATCCCCTCAATGTCTTGTTGTGAGATCCCCAAAACCGACCCCAGAACAGTCCATCACCCCATCTCTAGCTTTGCTTGCAGTGCTCATCCAGGCACATCCTCGAGTCTTCCCAAAGGCGAGATCACTCCTTGATCTCTTCGGGGTCATCTCAGCTGCAGGTTGTATTTCTTTCTGGAGTTCCCGAGTTGTCTGGAGATACAAAAGCAGGCTGTTGTCCTTCCCACTTCCCACTAAACATTGCTGTGAGTCTACTCATTTCATCTGGAGTCACTCCTGTTTCATCCTGGTGCGTTACCCACCCCAGTCCTGGAGTGGGTGATGTTGCCCCTGGGAAGGGCACCAGTTTGGAGTGAGTTACATGCCATGGCCAGAAGTTGTTGAATATTCTCTGTACAGAATGGTTCTGGTGGAAAAATAAGCTTTTTAAAGCATTTTTATTCCCCCAAACTAAGCTTTTTTAAGCATTACATTCCGCAGGAAACCACGTGGAGTTTGAACTGCGCTCA